GCACGTTTGCTGGCTCTGCTGCAGAATCTTCAAAGTGGTCTTCGTTTTCGCTCGAGCAGCCAGCTGTCTCCTTGCTACCGGAACTTCTAGCTTCGTCATCAGGAATGTCAGGAACAGCTTCATTTTCTGTAGTTTCCCCCTCTTGCTCGAACGGAAAATTCACCACCAACGGGACATCTTGGCTTGGCTTCAGCTGGGCATATGGGAACGAACCTTCATCAAATTTCACGTCCCGATCAGTTTTCACTTCGCGCGCTTGCATGTCCCACAGCCGATAGCCATTCGGTGTGTAACCGATCATAATCATCTCACGGCTCTTTGGATCCAACTTCTTCCGCGGCTGACTTGGGACCCACGCAAAGCATCTGCAGCCGAACCCACGCAGCTTGCCCAGATTAGGCTCCGAACCATACCATCTTTCAGCAGGTGAAATTTCAGCAGGCAGGGCGACTGTGGGGCTTCGGTTTAACAGGTACACGCACACCAACGCTGCCTCGGACCAAAGATTTTTCAGCACTCCCGAATCAATCAGCACAGCACGAATCTTCTCCTCCAAAGTCCTGTTGAATCTCTCAGTGACTCCGTTCTGCTGCGGCGTGTAAGCAATGGTTACTTCCAGCTGAATGTATTTCTGCTTGTAGAACTGCTTCTGGGCGTTAGAGCAGTATTCTCTTCCTTGGTCAACGGTCATCTTCGAAATCGACAGCCCGAATGCTGCCGTCACTGTGGCTTCATACTCACGGAACACCTCGAACACGCCAGATTTCTTCTTCAACAGGTAGATCATTGCAAAGTGGCTGTAGTCGTCGATAAACGAAACGATGTACCTGCAACCATCCCAGGATGGAGGGTCGATCGGGCCGCAGACATCGGAATGGATACGTTCCAAGGGCCGAATAGCACGACAACGCGTTCCGTTGAAGGGCTCACGGCACTGCTTCCCTTGAACACAAACTTCACAAAAACCGACTGGAGTCAATTTATTGATTCCGTTCAGCATTCCTTCACGGATCATAACGTCCATCCCGTGCTGGCTAATATTCCCCAACCGCCTATGCCACAACTTACTTGGTTCCGCATCACTGACATTGGCACAAGGTTTTTCCAACGTCAGCACGATTCCGTACAAGCTGCCAATCATCTTGCCGGTTGCCAAAAGTTCTCCATCTCTCTTCAAGAGCGTCGTGTGGCCAGAGAACACAACATCAATACCGGCTGCTGTCAACTTCTTCACGGACATCAAATTCTCCGTCAGGTCCGGAACGAGAAGGACATCTTTCATGTGGAACAGGACATCTTTGTTGCTGGTCGCATCCAATGTTGCTGATTGATGAGCGAAGCCGCGATTTGAAACCGACAATAATCTCCACGGGAGAGAACTGCACACCAAAACTGTATCTGTCCATCAGTCACCTACCGCTTCAAGAGAAGAGCGAAAGAGTGCCCTTTAGGTTTACGCCTTTATCCGTTCATTCTATGAAATGCACAAATTCAAGCCGATACCGAGGAAACTCGGGCACTGAGTGAGTGCCGCTCGAGTTTCAGGTGGCTTGAATCACTGATTGACTGAGTCAATGGTTGAGCAAGATTTTACTGGTTATTATGTACGGATACGGAGACACGACAAAGAGAGAGAAAGAATGTTTTTTTTTCTCTCTGCCTGCCGCAGTCCGCGTTCTGTTTCATTGGTGAAAAACCTAAATTTTGCTGCGGGGAGGCGCAATAGTTTGCAACAAATGGACGGTTTTGCGCTAACGAGGCATCTTGAGTTCAGTGAGGGAAAGATGGTCACTTTCTGTTTTAATTCAAAAAATAGTGTCGCATAAAATTGAATGTACTAAATTTAGTGCTTTAGCTCACGAAGTGCTCTGTGTTTAATTTATGAAATGTTGCCCACATGCATAGTTTATAGTTACCGGAAATCCGTATATGTCACGATGCAAATCAGGGCTAGAGATTGCTTTTGGATTTATAAACAATAATAATTAAATAGGGGCTCTTCATTAACTACATGGACTGTCTTGGGGGTTCTACACAGTTAAATGTTTTAGCGCATATTTTTATTGGAAATTGTATGAACTGTGAACATTTGCCATATCTCTTGTCCCATAGATAACTACAGTAGTCTAGGGGCAAATAGATCACCGGGATTTAATTGATCACTATGAGATGTATTTTTGGTTAGCTTATAGCATATTTTTGGTGGTAGATATCAAGACAATTTTGATAGCATTTCATCGTGAGACTCCAATAACTGCTTTGACGAGTTTTTCAAAATATACATGTTTTTCTACATAAATTTCAGATTTATTGAAAAGATGTTAAAAATCATCAAATTTCATCACTCAAACAAGTACAATACAAATTGATGCCATTGACTTGAATGCGGTATTGTTTGTTAAAAAAAATGTTTATGAATCAGAGTTATGAAAAAAAGTATGACAAAGTTTTAAAAATATCGAAAAATCAACGACTTCGAGTATCATTTATTTTAATTTTATTTCGTTAAGGTTAATTTGCAGCGAATAGTCAATAAAAATGGCTGGATGTTGCATTTCGTACGAAAAAAAACTGTCTGCTTTTTTATGTATTGTTGTGTTGGTTTTCCGAAAATCGAAATTATTTATAATAATTGAACTTCATAAAATATGAATGTTGAAATTCCCAAATATGTTTTTCTCCAATTTTTGTACTGAGGCACCGTTATAATTGATTAATTCGAACGTCAAGATTTAGCAATAGTTGCATACTTTATTTAACTAATTTGTTTAAAATCCACTTCTTAAAATTCAAAATTACATAGGGAAAGAATGCCACTCCTACATGAATAAACAAGTTAAAAAAATCAAGCATCCGGTATTTCAATCTCCGAAAGTTTATATAAAAATAGTTTTCATTTCGGTGGCATTCTTGTTCCATCTGGCCCTATATTCCCCGCCCCTTATGTAATAATAAGTAACGAAAAATCACCCTTCACATTAGGAATAATGAAAAATTAGTCCTCAAACAAATTCGTTGCTAGGGAAAACACGTTTCTAGGCAGGGTGGTCTGAGCAACCAGATTCCAGAATAGCTGATTGCTACTTCGATAACAAAATGAATGTATGAAATGAATGCAAATGATTTTCGACGCCTGTTAGTGAGTGAAAATAATCATGTCGCAGAAATAGCAGTCAGCATTATTTCAGGCAAACATTTCTCTAAGCATTTATATTATATACACACACAGCAAAAAATTCTGAATTTTAATTGTGATGTAAACATTCATACACGTAAACTTGTGTTTCATTAAACGCAAACGAGCAACTTGTATGCAATGTTGTTTAAAAATATGGGCTTTTGTATACAATATGTGCAACTTTTCATGAAATGTCTCTGAACTTTACACGATTTATAATGTAAATTTATATGATATATGACGCTCCATTTGTGTGCATCACATTGAACAGAAATGTACACTACTTTTTCGAACTGTGCAGATAAAAGTTCTGAATTTTAATTGTGATGTAAACATTCATTCACGTAAACTTGTATTTCATTTCACGCAACCGAGCAACTTGTAAACAATGTTGTTTACAAAGATGGGCTTATTTGCTACATTGCATGAAATGTTTCAGAACTTTACATGATATATAATGTAAACTTATATGTGACGCTCCATTTATGTGCATCATACTAAACAGAAATGTACACTACTTTTTAAAACTGTGTACATCCATTTTACTTTGTTAGATTTCAGGGCCCGAAAGAGGTTTCCAGGCCTCAATCTTTAGAGTCCGCTGAAATATTTGATTTTTACCTTGAGTCCTACTTCACCTTGGTTAAAAGCTGAGGTGTCAATTATTCCAACCAAGGAACATCTACACAGTTTCCCAAGCTTGCAAAATATTCTCACTTCTACGAAGTTTCCAGAATTTCTACGATATTCCCTCAACTTATGTAAAATGTGTTGCACTCCTAAAAAGTTTTTTTTTAAACTTATGCGGAAATTCCTGAACATCTACAAAGTTCCTTGAAGTTCAACATCGTACCCTGAACTTTTACAATACACACCTTACCAATCAAGCTAAGGCCTTGACGTCCCCTGCTGTCCGAAAAAGCCGCATCCACTCTACTCGATCCATGGCCACATGTCGCCAACGTTAGTGTGCCAAGTTAGTGAGTAGCACTGAGTTATTTGAAAAATTTCAATCATATCTCCGGACCAAGATATCCAATCGGTTTATTAAGGTTCTATGGGAGCTAGATATACACATGCTGGAACATGTTGCACCTCAATCGATTCAGCTATCGCCAAGAAAAGTAAGTGAGAACATGCAGACATTTTCCTATCTCGTGGAACTGAGTTAATTGGTATATGACATTTGACTCTTTGGGTCTTAGATCGAAGAAGAGTTTTTCAAGTGATAGGCAAAAACAACCAATGGGTGACTGGATCAAAAACTAAATCCAAATCTATACCCCAGTTGTCTCGTCTTGTCGTAGCTTTCAATTACCCTTAATTTAATACGATAATTTCTTCCATAGTGCCACTGCCAAACAGTAGGATTTAGATTGAGGTCTCACAATTGTGGTGGTCGATTGTGGTTGGAACCGTGCGTTAATTCTAGAGCAAGCTATTGGCTCCTCGAATCGTATACAAGGTAAATTTTGTATCCGTAAACAGAATAACATACACTGACTTAATCGAGAATCAAATAAATAATAAGTATATACGTCAGCCAAATATAATACAAATCAAGTCATTGAAGATGATATGTGGATTTTGGACTACGTAGCATCTAAATTAATCACTTGCTATAATGTTGAATCGGAGCATGTGCATCTGTTGCAACGGTTTCAACCAGTGTTTAGACTTAGGGTAAATTAAGTCCTCAGCAGTATTTGTACCTGTTGCAAAAAAAAACCCCGTTCGGTATAGTCAACAGTCGGATGAACTTAGTGCAAGCGAGAACCAGACAAGCTACAAACACATCGAAAGCCACATGGTTCACCTTATTGACTTTATTTACGCATAGCGTAGTGATAACACAGTTCGCCAGTATAGCTCGTACCCGGGACCTGTGAGGAACTTGTTTTGAGAGACGCAGCTGAGACAGAGTTGAACACTTTTTGCATGAGATAACACATTTAACGCGTAAAATAATGGAAAACTTGAAAGATGTTTGCATCGAAAGGGCACCTCACCGGTTAGAAGCTGCTTATGGAGAAATTTTCACGAGAGGTGCATTGGATTTTCTGCATGATCTGTTCACTGAATTTGATAGCGAGGTTGAAAAGGTGAGGTAGCAAATTTGAATAAAGAAGTCAACAATTGCAATAACATAGTGATATCTTATCGTTTTCATCGCTGGTCGGCGGTAATCATTTAGCTGTTGAGACGTAGATTGGAACGACAATTGTACATCAAGCAGGGTAAATGGAAACCGGAGTTTAGGAACAATAGCGAAGAACTGGATTGGAAAATAAACGACCTACCGGTAAGGTTGCGAAATCGAAAGTTGGATCTGGGCGATGTGAGTCCAGCTAATACGACCAACTTTGTCGACAGCTTGTACGCAAAGGTGCAAGGTATCCAAGTGGACTTTGACGACGGTCATTGCCCTACCTGGCGGAATACGGTGCAAGGTTTGTATAATGTGACGAAAGCAGTGCACGCTGGATTGCCTGGAGCTCCGACAAATATTCAAGACTGCCCCATACTGATGCTTAGACCAAGGGCTTTCAATATGATTGAACATCACTGTATGATCGGTGGAAAGCAAGTAATTGGACCGTTGTTTGACTTTGCCATTTTGATGTACCATAATGCGAAGCTAATGGCTGATCTGGGAGTAGGACCTTACTTCTATCTATCAAAAGTAATTTTTGAATTTATAATATAGGATTACCAAAAGTTACTTTACGTTATTTCTGTAGATTGAGGGTCCCAATGAAACACAGCTGTGGAACAAAATTTTCACATGGACCGAACATCGACTTAACTTAGTCAGTGGAACCATCAAGGCATGTGTATTGATTGAAAATATCCTCGCGGCTTACCGCATGGAAGATATCCTGCACTCCATCAAAGAGCATGCAATCGGTCTGAACTGCGGCATTTGGGACTATTCGGCGAGTATCATTGCCAAATTTGGAGATAGGTCGGATTTTATGATTCCTGATCGTAATAAGTATGTTAACATGGGCCAACCTTTTCTGAAGAACTACATGAAGCTACTGATCCACATTTGTCATAAGCGGGGTGCTCTGGCTACGGGGGGAATGGCAGCCAAAATCCTTCCTTGTGGGAAGGGATCAAACAATGTGTAAGTATGGAAGATTTTTTTCGCGGTCGTTAAAGAGGAACCAGAGAATAAAGGGATTTGTACGTCATTTTTAGAATCGACGACATTATAGAAAGCGTAAAAATGGCAAAATCCGTAGAAATTGAAGCCGGAGTAGACGGATTCATGATCTACGATCTTCGAATGGTGGAGGCGATAAACGACTTGTGGGAACACAAATGTCCCACTGATAATCAACTGCGAGTTCTTCCTGATGTTCATCATGTAACAGCGTTCAGTTTAGTGAAGATCCCCGACGGTGGCGTTACCATGGAAGGATTGGAGTAAGCTTAATGGTTTTCGAATTTAACACAAAAACCAACTGTGCTTTTTCATCTTTTAGGAACAACATTACGGTTGCACTTTTATTTATCTACCATTGGTTCATGGGCAGTGGCGTGTTCTATCTGAATGGTGCTGTGGAAGATTCTGCAACGGCGGAGATTTCCCGCTCGCAAATTTGGCAATGGATTCGACAGCGGGCCCCAATCGAAGGTAAACCGGGAGCCTTTGTTACGAGGTCACTGGTCTACACTATGCTGGATGGTGTTATTTCCAAAGCGTACAAATCTTGGTGCACTTCCATACCCGATCGGAAGCGATTACTTTCGTCGAAGTATGTTTTGTTGGAGATTATTTCTTCTCGTAACTACATTGAATACATCACAACGTTCCTGAGTGATAGCCACAAGTTCAGGACGCTGCACAACAAAAACGATGGGTTGGAGTCAAAACTATAAGAGGGGAGGCCAAACAGTTAAACAAAATGATCATATTGATAAAGGTTTATTGTTAAACAAATGCTCAAATAAAGTTCTGTGTTTTGTTGAAACAAACAGCATTGCATTCGAAGGTATTATCAAAGTATCACGTATTGGCGTTGACGGCGACTCTGTAGCTCTTTACTCTATGGTAAAATCCGTAAGCAAACGTCAGACTGTGCGTGAAACATGGCGGACTTTGTACTATCCTTTCACTTCACCGAAAAATCCCATAAGAAACTGTCAATCTTTTCTAGAAGAGACAACTTTTCGACGGTGCCGTCAACGCCAATAGGAATTACGATAATCAACTGTCCATAAACTGAGAATGACGTCAATTGAAAGGCTGTGGATTAGGGTGAACAAAAATAATACTTTGTATGGAAACCTGGGGGCTCACCCACCAAATATTATGGTGTGTTTCAATGATGGCATATGGGAATTCCATAGGCCATATTTGGAATACACCATAATAGGCATAACTGGTACATCTTCCCTAAGGGAGTTTCAAAAACAAACCTATTGTGTGGCTGCTACTCTGAAAAACGTGATTAAGAGGATTATACTTTTGAAAAAAACAGCCATTTTTTCAAAGCTAATAATGAAAAAATTATCCAATGCATCAAAATTAACTGCAATGTTGCCAATGTTCATAGCCCTTTAGTATGTTTAACATGCCTTGGGGTTCAAACTATATGAAAAAAAAAAACAAAGACCGCAGTATGACATAGAACTACGCAAAATTGGTGTATGTCATACATTTTTGACTATTATTAGAATAGTATAATACTTTATCTTAAATTTTTCAAGTATTTCAATTTTTCGGTTATGGTTAAATGTTGGTTCAAGTATTTTTCCTGGAATGTTATAAATTATGACAATTCAAATGTGGGTTTACGTCCCCGTTATATATTTGGAGTAGCACCCTAGTATAGTCCACAAAGACGCCATGTATGTTGTTGGATAAAACAATTGCCAAAAAATACGTAAACTTTTTTCAGTAGCTCCGTCATTACTTTTAAATTAGGTCTCTGAAGCAGAGTAGACCTGTGCGCCGATAAAAAAAAATTCGGCGGCGGCGTGATATGTTATTTTCTGCCGGCGGCGGCGGCGTGGCGGCGTCACGCCGTTTGCTTTCGGCGGCGGCGGCGTGGCGGCGTGGGTCGGCGTGAGTTTATTTTTAATGATTTAGAAAAAAAAAACTTTTCAAGCCAATCGCACATGTACAAAATTTTTTCTGATATCTCAAAATCGTTAAAACGTAGGTCACTCATAGTGTGAATAAATTTTGCGACACTTTCCCGCGGAAAACTTCTTGAATATGGGGAAAATTTAAGAAAATTGTACACAGATTAGAAGTTCACTAGTGGAAAGACTAAAACCATATTCAGTTTTCCTCATATCCGAGAAGTTTTCCTCTGAAAAGCGTCGGAAAATTGACTCATTCTATGAGTGACCTACGTTTTCGAAAATTTACTCAACCGGTACTCAAATATGAGTAACTGTTATTTAATTTCGAGTCGTTCTCAATTTTGAGATATTCTCAACGTATGCCATTCGATTACCTATAGCTTGAAACGGATAATGTGATTGAAATCAAGTCGATAGGTTCCCAACTAACAATTTTAGCTGCAGATTAGCTTATACAGCCAAAAATTGGCTTATACAGCTAATTTTTGCCAGTATAAGCTAGTCTGCAGCTAAAATTGTTTGTTGGGTTGTATCGTTGTCGAGAAATCGTTAAAAACGTACCGTGTAAATCGCGAAAAACCGTGTAAAAATAATCGTGTAAAAAAACCGCGTAAAAAAAAAACCGTGCAAAAAAAGACTTTAGTGTATTGAAAAGCAATCTGTTGCATTTCGTAACAATTTAATGGACCCTAGGATTTTTTTTTCATTTATTGAGCATTACACGTTATTATTATGTTGATAGCAATAAATGATGTGCTTTTATTACTCTGATACATATTTGAATGTACGCGCATTGTAGTCATAAAACTTTTTGTTTATGTATTTGAAGATGATGTCTTTCGGATATACGTAGAATTCCGCACAACTTGGCCTGTAAGAGATTAAAAAAAGGTCAAATTTCAGCGTGTTGTTTATAATATAGATACTATAGATTCCATAGATAAGCGGAGGCAAAGTATAATGTAGGCAAACGTATAATGTAGGTAAACTGTCAGTTAGTGTAGCCAAACGAGAATGACGTCATCATGGTGTTGTTTGAGGGAGAAGTATTGTTATATTATGAGCACAAAACGCTTTCCACACTCCACATTCAATTTATTTCGTGGACAGCGGAAGAATGAAAGATAAAGCAAACCATTCCTCGGTTCATTGTTGCAAAGATTTGCTTTGCACTTCATTTTGAACTTTTGCGCACGAAACACAACAAAACTGCACAACAAAGAGCTCTATGATGGCATGAACTTTTTTTACGGATGCCAGTAAGATCATTTATTTTTCATGGTTGCCAAAACAACTTTTTGTGCCTCCACTTATCTATGGAATCTATAGTATCTATAGTTGATAATAGTTCCTTATTCACCTTTATGTAAATCCGTTCCTCGTTAGTAAGCCAGTGTTTATTGCAAAACTCTATTTTGACAAATGCTGTACCCAAGTAGCACAATTCTGTCCCAAAAAGTTGCAGCAACTTGTTTATAACTGAAATAAGTCGTATATAAGTTTTCAAGACCAATTTATAACAAGGGTGCAGCTAGGGTAATTGTCGTGAATTAAGATTGTTGATTGCGGATTTCGGAATTTACGCGGTTTTTTACGAGGATTTCGGAATTTACGCGGTTACTTTCGATTCAGTTGCTCCTTCATCCCCAGCTTCATATGTGTTATGATAAGCAAGTCCTCATTTTTTTCACTGATACAAACTTCAATCTCAGATCGCAATAGCATGGCAATGTAAACTGTTGCATTCTTTTCAACAGCCAACAGGGTTATTATAATCTTTTAACCAAAACGAAATTTTACTACAATATGTTCACCGCCACCATGTCACCATGTCTCAGAAACAGACTAGAATAAAATCACATTGGAACTAAAATGAAACTTTTCACATTAGACGTTCGCTTCGTGATCGACTTTTAACTGGCACGTTTTTAACTTGTCCGCTAACTGAGACAATGTTTCAATTAAAGTACATTTTCTGCCAAAATGATGCAATTTCAAAATGTCATGAATTGATATTAGTGAATTCCGTTCCCTAGGTGAAAATCTAACATTATTTTCTCAGCTATCGTCTAAAGGGTGTCCACGATGAAATTGCCACACACAAAATTGATTCGCAAAATTCGAGTTTTCATCCGATTGCCATCAAATTTTCAGGGATTGAGAAATAACTATTAAACTTCATTTTATCATTTTACTCGTATTTTATTTACAGTCCATACGCAAATGCCCGCACCTTGGCCTTAACCCCAGCCATAAAATTCTGCACAACCTGTGAATCAACCGTTTTTTGCATGTAAACCCATACTTTCTTCAGTTTCTCGACTGTCTTCACTACCTTAGGTCGTTTAAGAAGGTGCTGCTTCATAATCGCCCAGTTCTTCTCGATGGGGCGGAGCTCCGGAGTGTTGGGAGGGTTGAACATTTTCGGCACGAAATTGACCTTATTGTCCGCATATCACTTCAGCACGTCCTTGGAGTAGTGGCATGAGGCCAAATCCGGCCAGAAGATTGTTGGGACGTTGTGGGCCTTCAGGAGAGGAAGCAGCCGCTTCTGGAGGCACTCTTTTATGTACACCTGTCCGTTCATCGTGTCCTGGGTCACGAAAGGTGCACTCCGCTTCCCGCACGTGCAGATGGCTTGCCAAACCAGGACTTTCTTCGCAAATTTGGACATCTTCTGAGTGCGGCATGCTCCGGAACGCTGAACTTATCCTTGGCCGTGAAAAACAGGTTGCCGGGGATCTGTTTGAAGTCGGCCTTCACATATGTTTCGTCGTCCATGATGCAGCATTCAACTTTCGTCAGCATGTTGAGGTACAACTTCCTGGCACGGGTTTTGGCGGACTTGTTCTGCTTCTCGTCGCGATTAGGGGCCATTTTGTACCTTTAACGTTCGAAGCCCAGCCTTAGTTTTGGCCTTCTGGACAAAACTTCGGCTTAGGTGCAGCTTCTTAGCCACATCCCTAACGGAGGCGTTCGGATTTCGGTTGAAGGCCCCAACTACGCGGTTGTGATTTTTGGTGTTGTACGGAATACTTTTTCCTTCACTTCTGGGCTTCCGATCGGTGGTCAACCGCTCCTCGAACCGCTTAATCACTCGCGACACCGTGGAATTCGCGATTCCCAACGTTTTAGCGATGGAACGATGCGAGAGATCCTTGTTCTCGTGATGAATGCGCAAGATTTTATCACGCACGAGCTGTTCTTTCGACTCCATTTCCGCGAGTTTTGATCACAGGACTTTAAAACTTGCAGGATGTAAATAATGCACTATGAACTAAATCCACCCAAATTTTCATTAAATTCTACCCAACGGTTAAAAGTTAGAGCAATTTCATAGTGTGGCAATTTCATCGTGGACACCCTTTAGTGTATCAGTAAACAAACATCTGATCTTCAATGCACTGGTTGGATATTGATTTGCAAACCCTATATGGTCACCAGTCAGTCAGATGGAATTTGTTAGTAGGCTTAGTTGCTCGAGACATAGCAACAATAGTTTACAATAATTATTATAGTTTCAGAACGACTTTAAAAAAAAAACTCATTTTAAACGGCTCAAGAAAGTTTTACAAGTCTTTAACTAGCGCCCACTTATGTGCTGTGAATATGAGATCGTGCTTATTAAGACGGTTCAATAAAGCATTCACGCCAGCTCTATTCAATTCGAGACTTATCATCATCTTAAGTAAATAATTCCAACGTGTTACGCTGACTGTTTTAAATGTTGGGGCTTATTTAGATTCACCGTCAAATTGAACATTGATATTCGTTTCACACAAACTCGCAAGTTGACCATCTAGCTCCTCCTCTATAATAGATAACGGGTGTTGCTCATCCATATCAAGC